GACTGTGGCACCCACCTCCCCCAGTGCCCCGTGTCTCCCCGGGGCGGGGACTGTGGCACCCACCTTCACCAGTGTGTCTGGCACGGCCCCAGCCTCCACGAGCCCCCATGTCCCGGACACTTCTCGTGGTGCTCCGGGGAGCCTTCGCTGTTGGGGATGGGTTCACACTACGTGGAGTCCTGGGGCCAGTCTGATGGCCGCCTGCCCACGTGCTGCCTGCAGGGTAGACGTGAACAGCGACCGGAAGATCAGCGCCAAGGAGATGCAGCGCTGGATCATGGAGAAGACGGCTGAGCACTTCCAGGAGGCCATGGAGGAGAGCAAGATGCACTTCCGAGCCGTGGACCCCGACGGGGACGGTACCGCGGCCAGGCTGGCGGGCAGGGCGGGTAGGGCAGGCAGGGCCGTGGGCCTTGCCGGGGACCTGGAGGGCAGACAGGCCTGGTCTGAGGGAAGGGCAGTGGGGAAGTGTCAGCTGGAGGCCCGAGGTGTGGTGGGGTACACTGGGGTACGCGGAAGCTGGGTTCCTGATGCCCGAGGCTTGGTGAGGAAAATGTGCGCTGAGCACTGGGCGTGGCCATGGAAGGCGCCGCTCAGGACTTGGTGCTGCCTGTGGCTCTCAGTGGCCCTGGGCACAGACATTCCCAGCTGGCTTCACAGGTGAGGAGGCGGGCACGGGCTGCTGGCCTGGGCCCCAGGGCTCCAGACACTGGCATCCTGCTGCCTCCAGCCTGGACAGCAGAGCGAGACCCCATCTCCGCTGAAAAGGCAGCTGAGCTCAGTGTCAGACGTCCTGACAGGTATGACCTGCTTTTCCAGGCCACGTGTCATGGGACGAGTACAAAGTGAGGTTTTTGGCGAGTAAAGGTCACAGCGAGAAGGAGGTTGCCGACGCCATCAGACTCAACGAGGAGCTCAAAGTGGACGAGGAAAGTGAGTGCTCACCGGGCTCCTGCCGCACGGGTCTCCGGCATCTCCTGCGTGCGTGTTGTGTGTATGTGAGTGCACCATGTGCGTGTGCTCCTGGGTACATGCGGTGGGTGTGCCGTGGGCTCGGGGGTACATGTGGGTGAGTGTGTGTGCTTGTGGGTACATGTGGTGGGTGTGCCGTGTGCTCGTGGGTACATGCAGGTGAGTGTGTGTGCTTGTGGGTACATGTGGTGGGTGTGCCATGTGCTTGTGGGTACATATGTGCAGGTGAGTGCGTGTGCTCATGGGTACATGCGGTCAGTGTATATGCTCGTGGGTACATGCAGGTGAGTGTGTGTGTGCTCGTGGGTACATGCAGGCGGGTGTGCCGTTTGCTTGTGGGTACATACGTACAGGTGAGTGAATGTGCTCGTGGGTATACACGTGCAGGTGAGCATGCCATGTGCTGGTGGGTACACGTGCAGGTGAGCGTGCCGTGTGCTGGTGGGTACACGTGTAGGTGAGTGAGCCATGTGCTGGTGGGTACACGTGCAGGTGAGTGTGCCGTGTGCTCGTGGGTACACACGTGCAGGCGAGTGAGCCGTGTGCTTGCGGGCACATGCGGTGAGTGAGCCATGTGCTTGTGGGTACACACGTGCGGGTGAGTGTGCCGTGTGCTCGTGGGTACACATGCAGGTGAGTGTGCCATGTGCTTGTGGGTGCACATGTGCAGGTGAGTGAGCCGTGTGCTCGTGGGTACATGCGGTGTGTGTGTGCTCGTGGGTACATGAGTGTGCCGTGTGCTCATCGGTACACATGCAGGTGAGTGAGCTGTGTGCTCGTGGGTATATGCAGTGAGTGAGCCGTGTGCTGGTGGGTACGTGTGGTAAATCTGCACACGTGTCTGCATCACGCCCATTGTGTGTGCACATGTGCAGGCGTGTCCTGTGTATCCCAACATGGGTGGTGGTGGCCGTGAGGAGGGAAGAAGCCATTGCTGGCCCAGGCGGCGCCCAGGGGTCAGGTGGGGAGCATGTGAGCCGTGCCCGGCCGCTCTCAGCACACTCTCTGCTGGTCACGACACCATCGTGGCGGTTATCCAGTTAGCTCCTACAGAGAACCTGAGGCCGTGAGTCTGGGCCCTGCCTGATGCTCTGAAGGCCACGTGAGGCGGGGTTTCCCAGGGAGAGGGAACGGCCTGTGTCTGAGGGCCTGGCCCTGGGGTCTGGGGTCTGGGGTCTGCTGAGACACCTGTGTGGCCACCAGGTGCTCACCGGGGAAGTGGTCAGGTCCCAGGGAGAGGCTCTTCCTTGTGTCGGGAGCGCGGCCGTTGGCCTGCAGGGCATCCTCAGCCCTGGCTGGGTCCCAGCTGGCACCTCTGTGTGAAGAGGGTGGAGCGAGGTGGGGCCTGGCACCTGGGTTAAGGGCGGGTGAGAGGAGAGCCCACCACCCTGCACAGGGCCAGTTCCAGGAGAGCTGTCCAGGCAGCAGCCCTGCCAGTGCCGTGGTGGCGCACAGCGGAGCGGGTACCATGGTTGCCACTCCCCTGGGGCTCTGTGTGCCCTTACCCGGCACGCTCACTTTCTGGTTTGGTTTGGGACTTTGTGGGGAGTCTGAGGAGGTGCCTGCCAGTTCCGTCACCGCTCTGGTTCGTGGGGTGGTGTCTCTGCTGTCCTGCATGGCACCTGGGTCCCCACGGGACTGGTGACCTGATACGCGGCCGTTCCTGGCAGGCTGGGCGTATCTTACACCTTTATGTTTTGTGCCTGCTCAGCCTGTCAGACATTTCCTTACCAGGGGCTGACGTCAAACCACCTCTTAATCTCTCTTTTTTCGTGAGACTGTCTCTCTTACCCAGCCTGGAGTGCTGTGGCGCAATCTTGGCTCACTGCGGCCGTGACTTCCTAGGCTGAGGTGAGCCTCCCACCCCAGCCTTCCAGGTAGCTGGGACCACAGGCGCCCACCACCCTGCCTGGCTAATTTTTAAATTTTTTTTTACAGACAGATTTTGCCATGTTGGCCAGGCTGGTCTCAAACTCCTGGCTTCAAGTGATCTGCCCACCTCAGCCTCCCAAAGTGCTGGGATTACAGGCGTGAGCCACTGCACCCAGGCTTAACTAACTCTTTTTTTAGTTTTTGGCTTGTTACTGTTTTGGAGAGAGGGTCTCAGTTTTGCTCAGGCTGCAGTGCAGTGGCACGATGTCAGCTCACTGTGATCTCCACATCTTGGGTTCAATCTGTCTTCCTAGGAGAATAGAAAAATAAAGTTATAAGACATGTCCCTGCCAGGAATGGCCCCATATCATGTGACCAGCCCCCATGGGGGCGGCCTCCTGAGTAACTGGGACCACCGGTGGGTGCCATCAGGCCCAGCTGATTTTAAAATATGTATTTTTTGTAGACATGCGGTCACCCCATCTCACCTAGGCAGGTCTCCAACTCTTGGGGTTTGAGAGAGTTTAAGTGACCCGCCGCCTCTGCCTCCCTTTGTCCTGGGGTGTGGGCGTGAGTGACCCGCCCGCCTCGGCCTCCCCCTGCCCTGGGGTGTGAGTAACCTGCCCGCCTGGGCCTCCCCCTGCCCCGGGGTGTGGGTGTGAGTGACCCGCCCGCCTCGGCCTCCCCCTGCGCTGGGGTGTGGGTGTGAGTGGCCTGCCCTGTCCTTCTAGAATGACGTGGAGACCTTTCAAGCCTGTTGGCTCTGCCTGCCCTCTTCCAGTTCGTGTGTGCTCACCTGGAGTTTGATCCTGTCCTTTCTAAATCATACAAATTAGACATTAAAAAGACCAAAACTAAGAGACAGGATCTCCCTGTGTGCCAAGCTGGTCTCAAACCCCTGGCTAAAGGGATCTGCCCGCCTCGGCCTCCTAGGTGCTGGGAGCCCCTGTCCCCGGCCACACTGGACAGCAGTGTTTCCTTTCTGAAGAGTGGTTCCCATTTTCCTCACCGTGCCTGATTGGCGCTCCACATTGGCCCTGCGTTTCACCTTCGTCCCGCTGGTGAGCTCTGCGCAGCAAGTCCAGCCTGCCGGCGATTTGCCGGGTGGGAGGCCCGTGCCTGCGCTGGCACCCCGACTCCTATTGTGTCTGTCTTTCCTGGGTGCCGTTTTATTTGGGTCTCTTCTGCCCAGGACACGTCCCACCTGGACCTAGAGCTTTGTGGCATCTCTGTGAAGCCGCCGTTCTCCTTTGGGGCTCAGCAGAGGTGTATTTAGAATTTGCTCTGCATTCTGGGGGTCCCCGTGCACCCTGAGGCGCCTGTCCCTGCTCAACCGTGTCTGGTCGCCTTTGCCTCCCCGACCTTAGGCTGCCTAGGACCCCCTTCGCCCTTCAGGTATTTCGCTTTTGGATCAGGAAGAGCAGCTGCTGGGTCCTGAAGGGAGATGCTGGGAAGCCCTGGCAGGTGCCGCCCCATACCCCATGACCTCTGACACCTCCCCTGCGACCTCCCACCTCTCTCCTGCGTGGCTTCTTCAAGGGCCACGTGTAGCCCACGGCATGAATCCTGGGCTGCTGTCCTCACGTGACTCTGGAGGCTGTGGTGCAGGTGTGGCAGGCGGGCATCATCCCGTCTCCTGCCTCCATCCACTGCCTCTCCCAGGGTCTGTGTCCCCTTCCCACAGGGACAGTGGTCATTGATCTTCCCTGATCCAGGACGGTCTCTGCAGATCCGTCACTAACAGCAGCAGCAGAGACCCAGCTTGTAGGGGGGTGCTGGGACCCGCGGCTTCTCTGGGGCCCGAGGTCGGTGCTGGGCCCGAGTGGCTATGAGAATCCTGTGCTGGAGAAGGCGCCTCCCGGCCGGCTGTTCCAGGCGCCTGTGCCTGCCCGTCCATCCACCCCGGATCCGCCGCCCCTCACTCTTGTCTTCCTTTTAGTGAACTTGTCACGTAGCAGGAGGTGGTTCAGAGGGTTACGATGTGATGGCAGCTGGGCCTCGTCCTCTGCAGCGACCGTTACCCAGAGCTGCCGGGTTTGTAGCCGGGCCTCCCTCGCTGGGCTGAGCCACTGACCATGGTGAGGTGGTGTTTCTGCCCTGGAGACCAAGACAGGCCCTCGGGGTGCGTGGGGACCTCGGGGCGAGAGGGGACGGGGCTGGGTGAGCACAGCGGGAGAGCAAAGGCCACACACACGGAGGCCGCGCCACGTCCCAGCCAGGAGGTTCCCAGGATGCTCAGCTTAGCCCCGTCTCAGTCATTTCTAGAAACTTTTCCTGCCTGTGACGTCACATATGAAGGAAACGGAAGAGGGTGCCTTCCTTCCCCTTTGGTGGGTGCATGCCTCAGCCTGGGTGATTCCACTCCTCCTGGGGGCAGCTGCAGGTGTGAGGGGCGGGGCCCTAGCCCATCCTGAGGGCTGCCAGGCCTGAAGGGGTCTGAGCTATGTCTTGGGGAGGTCTGGGCCACGGGAAGGTTTTGGACCATGTCTTGGGGGGTCCAGGCCATGTCTTGGGATGTCTGGGCTGGGTTGGGGGGCCTGGGATGTATAGTGGGTCCAGGCCATATCTTGAGGGTCCAGATTCTGTCTTGGGGGTCTGGGCTGTGTCCATGGGGAGTCAGGGCCATCCATGTATTAGGGGATCTGGGATGGGGGATCAGGCTGTCTTTGGGGGTCTGGGCTGTGTGTGGGGGGGTCTGGGTTATACCTTGGAAGGTCTAGGCAATGTCTTTGGGGATCCGGCCTGTGGGGAGTCTGGGTTGTGTCTTGGGGGCCCAGGCTGCGTGTGGGGAGCCTGTGAATCCTGGAGGGTGGGACTCTGGTCTCATGGGCAGCTGTGTCCCGGGTGTTGGCCCTTGAGTTCAGGCAGCACCTCTTGTAACTTTCTGGATTTGCGTGCGGGCGTCTGTCTGCCTCGATGCCCACAGGCTGTGCCCCTCTCAGCACAGGAAGTCCTGGAGAACTTGAAGGACCGCTGGTACCAGGCGGACAGCCCCCCCGCGGACCTGCTGCTGACGGAGCCAGAGTTCCTGTCATTCCTCCACCCAGAGCACAGCCGGGGCATGCTCAGGTTCATGGTGAAGGAGATCGTCCGGGACCTGGGTGAGGCAGGGCCCAGCCCGGCGGCCAACGGCAGGGGCCGGTCGTGGCGGGAGGTCGGGCGGGTCCTGTGGGAGCCCCGGCCCGGGTGTGAGCTGACCCGCTCCCGCCTCACAGATCAGGACGGCGACAAGCAGCTCTCTCTGCCCGAGTTCATCTCCCTGCCCGTGGGCACTGTGGAGAACCAGCAGGGCCAGGACATGGACGACAACTGGGTGAGAGACAGAAAGAAGGAGTTTGAAGAGCTCATCGACTCTGACCACGACGGCATCGTGACCGCGGAGGAGCTGGAGGTGAGTCCTGTGCAGCCGTCCCCAGCCGGCCTGCAGGCTGTGCACCTGGGACAGGAGGCCGTGCTGGAGGCTGTGTAGAGGCTGTGCTGGAGGCTCTGTGGAGGCCATGCGGAGGCTCTGTGGAGGCCGTGCTGGTGGCCGTGCGGAGGCTCTGTGGAGGCCATGCTGGAGGCCATGTGGAGGCTCTGTGGAGGCCGTGCGGAGGCTTTGTGGAGGCCGTGCTGGAGGCTGTGTAGAGGCTGTGCTGGAGGCTCTGTGGAGGCCGTGCTGGAGGCTCTGTGGAGGCTGTGCTGGAGGCTGTGCGGAGGCCGTGCTGGTGGCTCCGTGGAGGCTGTGTGGAGGCTGTGCTAGTGGCTGTGCGTCGGCTGTCGTGGTAGCTCTGTGGAGGCTGTGCTGAAGACCATGCTGGTGACTCCGTGGAGGCCGTGCTGTAGGCTGTGTGGAGGCTGTGCTGGTGGCCATGCAGAGGCTGTGCAGAGGCTCCATAGAGGCCGTGCTGGTGGCTCTGTGGAGGCCATGCTGGAGGCCGTGCTGGAGGCTGTGCTCATGGCCGTGCTGGTGGCCAACCTGAGACTCTGCCCGGGCCATCACTTGGGCGTTTGCGACATCCATGGCGTGGGCTCCAACGAAGCCCCCAGGCTGTGTGGCAGTTATTGGCGTTTAGGCTCAGATGAGGGACGGGAGCCTGGCCGGGTTCCATCCTCATTCTCTCT